CCATACTCTACTGTAATTAAATTGTGCTTTGATATCACACCCAGGTTTGTAACATGAAGGGTGAAGGTATAAAACCTAGACTGTATATAAAGATGGACATCGTTACAGCTCCCAGAAAGTGAAGCCAAAGCATCTCGATCACACCCTAAATCTCAACTTATCCATGTTAGCAGATGGGACATTGGCTAAACTTAAAAAGCATTTTTCTTGTAAGTTTAACTTAGTTATTTAATGCTAAAAAAAAAATAATGGGCTTAAATGTCATAATCGACATCTGAGACTGATTTGGTTGGTAATTTAGATGGGACTTTGATACCATGACTCATTCTCACAACTCTGACTGCGAATGCTTAATATGGAAGTATTGGTATCTGGGATATTTTGGCTCAATTTCTGGATAGTGGGACAAGTGGAGACATGCCATCCATCTTAATATACAATCTATGATCCGAGGTGTCCCTGAGTTTGTGATTTAATCCTTGATGTCATTTTCTGAGCTTTACCTTCATAAACAACATTTCATTTGTTTAACTGAAAGGCAAAAAGGCTTCACTTTCACCTCTGTTCACGTTGCAGGAAGCTGAATTAGTGTCAGTTCATAAACAAACTAGCGACAAATTCTTAGCTCCTCTCAGTTCAGTGTCTTTTCTTGTCAGTGTTAGTACCAAATATGGTCCCTTATTGCCTAAACTGGTAAAAGCTCCTGGGATTACTGAAGGAACTCATCATAATCGTTTTAACATTGCTCATATAGAGACCTCAAATCATATCAATGCATGTGAAACCCCCTCTAAGGGTCTCTAATCTGTGTCCATTAAAATTGTTTGAGTTCCTTGCACGCATTCATAGGTCAAAGGTCATTGGCCATCTGTTTCTACCATCTGGCTATTTTCTTTGGTAACTGAGCAACAGGTTTGTTCACTGGTCCCTGTGTTGCTCACAGACTCCAAAGTGTGGATGAGGTTTTCCAGCCCCCACAGGTAACCATCCTCGCGGTTGCCCTCCTGCCAGGGAATATCATGGTTCAACATCTGGCCCTCTGGTAAAGCTGTGGTCTTTCCAAAGTCAATAATCCAGACCTCTGCATTGCCCGTGTGGTCATGGATGAAGAGGAGAGAGCTGCCAATGACCTGTGAACAAGAGGGATGGTTTATTATTCATTAACTTTGGCATTTCTTTCTTCTGCTCCTTGTTATCCATAAATCTAGACAGGTGATAAAGGATAAACTTGAATAATGAGTAATGACTGCTGAAGCCTCTATGCAACATTGAATCCTGACCAGTTTGAGCGATAAACTACAATAAATGCCAGGTTAGTTTCAGTTTACATGACTCATGAGGTCACTGTGAACTTTGGCCTTTGACCACTGAAATCAAATCAGTTTATCTTTGAGTCCAAACAAACAAATTTGAAGACATTCCTTCAAGGTGTTCACAAACAAGGCAAAACAGTTGTTTTATGAGGTCACAGTGACCTTGGCCTTTGACCATTAAATTATAATGAGATTATCTTTCAATTAAACTTAACATCTGAGCCAAATTTCAGGGAATTCCTTCAAGGCCTTTTTAAATGATCATGTTCACAAGAATGAGATGGATACACATAAACCCTAAAACATCAGTTCACCTCAGGCCACTGGCTGTTGCCAGCACGGAGGCATAAAAGTAGTGTACTGTCCCTGAATCTGAATTTTAAATGAATGTCCTGGTGCAACACTTTACTTTGGCACTGAATGTTTGTTTTTCTTTCACTTATTATTCATTGATGAATCATCACCTCGTGTCGCCTGAAGAACTCTGATGTCTTTAGCGCCTGCCGGATCTCAGTCAGTCTGCTCAGGTAAGACTTCTGTATATATCAAAAAACAACAGTTAAGGGCGTTTCATAAAATATTAACATGGGTGCAGGCACAATGTATATTTGGGAAACCCCAGCATGACAGAAAACTCAAACATTACCACAGTGTGAATATTTACTTTGTGCTTTGTGGATCGATTTACTCTATGGTTTGCTCAACACTTGAGGTTGTTTTCATTTATCATTAAATGAGCCTCAACCCTTTTCTGGAGTGGGTGTACAAAACGATTTATAAAAGGGTGTTTGTAGTTTTTGTAGTCTGAATGTTTGATGCTGTGTGTACTGAATATGCAAAGTTAAACATATCTTGGTGTCATTACATGTGTGAATATATTATATATGTGTGCACGTACTATGATGTTAATGTTCCCGCCAACAAAGTCGTCGAACATATGGATGACGTCCTGCTTCGATCTGGTTTTCTTGAAGTCAGTTCGACATGTACCGTCACATTTCTAAAGAGAGAAAAAAAGCCTCAGTTTAAGTAGGAAAGGAATGAAACAGTCACTGAATGACGTGTAGGAAAAGTCAATAAAATGACATGAGCTTGACATCAGAAGCAGGCAAACAGCAGAGTCAGGGTGTGGGTAGAGGTTGGTAGCAAGTAAAACCAGGCAAAAGGTGAAAAGAGCTGATTAGGAGCAGTGACTTGGTGGAAAATGTGGGTAAACTCAGGGTTATGGGTAGGACAGCATTTCTTAAAGGGCACAGCCACCCTTTGGAAAATATTTGTGAATGCAAATATAGCTGGTTCACCAATAAAAGCCATGCTGTGATTGACCTCGCCACACATACCATAACATTTTTCCTCAACCTTTGAATTTCTTTCATTATGAAAAAAAACAGACATCTATAGAATGCTAATGTCTATAAACAGGAGGAATTGTGTGTGGATCTGGATAATGATCTGGATTTTATGAACCAAAATAACTTTGTTTAAAAAGGTGACCTTTATTCAGAACAGATAATTTGTGTGTGTGTTTAATGTAAATAGTTTGCATATAGTTTCTGAACACAATGGTTTATGGAGGATATTCATGTGTGAGGGTAATGTGAGACATGGTTTGAGGTGGCTCAGGCTGCAGCAGGAGGGTTTATTACAGCTGACTCCAGTTAGATAATCACTCCCTTGCTTAAATGTGGTAGCAAGAGAGCTGCCACAGACCAACAGAGACAGATGTCAGGGAGAAGACCGAGACCTGAGCTGCCACCGGACACTGTAATGAAATGGTCCAGTGAGAAGTCGGCCGGTTCACAGGGCAGATTTAGGTTTAAGGTACTGAATTTATGTTTGAGGTGTTGATTTCTGGGACTTAATGTATGGTACTGGTGAGTGCCTGTTTCAGGGGACTTTGCCACAACATGTAAATGCAATATGTAATATATGTGGAGGTGTGGGAAGTAAGAATCTGTTAATCAAGAGAATCCAGCAGTTACTTTCTTTCACTTTCTTTAACATGTCATTAGCCTTGGCAGAGGATTGTGCTCTCAGTGTCCCTCTCATACCCTTGTGAGTTAGGCACTATGATATATTATGTTTGGATTTATTTATTATATTCATATTCATCTCCAGGCTGGTTTGGCGATTCACCTTTGGACTTATCTCACACCATGAGCCAGCTTCCCTGAGCACTATGATTACCCTGCTAATGTTAATCATGATGATAATATCCATAAGGATGCATCACTCCCTCTACCTTGATCCCTTCTATCCTGAAGCCCAGGGTGTTGGTGGAGCTCATGGTCTCTCTCCACTGCATGTAGCGTGGCTTGGTGACGCCTTGTTGCGTGTGCTCCTGGGGAGTCGGCCCTTCACTGTCCACCTCCACCATCTTCTTGTACAGGTCCTCCCTGGGCTTGGGCCGCTCTCGTGCTCGAACAAGCTCCTCCTCCAAGTAGGTCCTGAAACAGCAGGAAAGAATAATCCCTGAGGTGCAGGAGCCGTGTGTTTACACACTACTATTATTTTTTGTAGTGCTCTTTGCATGTAAATAAAATGTTATATTTACTTTAAGGGTTTGTATAGTATTCACACCCATGTTATTAAGAAAGATGATAGGCTGTAAAGAGATACAGTGTTCTTTGTATGAAGCCATTGTGAGTGATACATGACTGAAACAGTTTCCTAATAAAGCCACATTTTAATTTTTAGGTGAATCTGCACCAAAATTTCACACACTCATAAATATCAGTCCCCTAAAACATATCAGATTTGTCTTCATCAAGATCCATTAATTATTCTAAATAATTATGAGGAATCACAAACATGTTGCAGAGATCAGCATTTTCACATTGTTATTCTCTCATACAAAAGTGAAGACTGCTGCATAAATGCCTTAAAATATCATTACAGAACTGCACAACTTTGTTCAGCAACACATTTACTCTTGTCGTATTCATACCAGGCAATCATGTGCAAACAGATGTGGATTTCAGTTTCAGTTTGTGAGCCACACTTCCTCTGTGCTGCGGAGGGAAGCTGAGAGGAGACTCCAGCGTGCAGAGTTTAACTCTAAAAGTCTGAGTGTGTCTTTGTGCAAGTTAGCGGTTTTGCAACCTTGTGGTTGAGTATTTTCGACAAAGGGGAGTCTCCAGGGACACCCTAAGCATGTAAATGTGTGTAGCCTCGGTAACACAAACACACAGAAATATTGAGTTCACACAGGAATGGTTGTCCAAACCTGCATGTCTGTGCATGCACGAACATGTGCATGTTCGTGTGCATATTCGTTTGTGTGTGTGTGTGTGTGTGTGTGTGTGTTCATGCTTGTGCACACGATACAGCAAGACTCTACGCCCATTGTGGCAGGAAGCCAAGCATATAGCCTGCAGTTACAACAGGTGTTCCCTTGTAGAGCAAAAATGCTTCAGGCACAAGTACAGTCCCCAGACTCTACTGATCTCATTCATCTATTTCAACACATGATCAACAAACCTTAAAAACACACTTAAAAAATAAAGAACACTAAAGTTTTTTAATTGATTTGGTTGCTTATATATAATTAAAAGTAATAAATGAAATATTACTCCCTTACCTGACTCCCATCTTACAGTCCATGACATTGGGAAGGTCAAAGTTTGCCAGCAGGTCGGTCATATGAAGGAAAGACTCTCCATCTTTCTCCACAACGCCATGGTAACCAGGAACAAAAGGGAGCAGAGCGTCGTCCCTCAGCTCCTCAAAACACTGCATCTCATTTTCTGAGAACTTCTTCAGAATGGTGCCCTCATCTGCTGCTTTGAAGTTACCTGAAGTCAGATGAAGGACAACATTCCAAGCTTTCCCAAACAGGAAGGACCAGCATTTAAAAAGTGCAGGCTCTGAATTTAACTGCCAAAGAAAATACAGTACATACAGTACCTGTGTATGGGAATGTTATAGAGCACATTTGGAAACTGCTGTAACTGTTCTAATCCTCATTCCTGATGTGGTGACCTCATATCCTCCCATTTTTTCTTATATCATAAAGTTCCCACACAAAAAAAATTATACAATACAAGTCAAAGCCTGCACACCACATACTGACAGTGAAGGCAGTGTGGATATCTGATTTTTACCGTCGAGGACCCACAATGTTGCAAATGGTATCTGATGGTGTGAGTAGTCTGTGATACGATCCATGTATCACATATGTGTCATGTATGAACAAGTCATACCTTTATGCCCAGCGAGCTGAACCCAGTTTAGTTTTCTCCTCTGGCTCGCGCTGAACGGCCAGTGAACGATCGTCTTTAACTTCCACCACGGCTTGCTCTGGAGAAGACATGAGAAAGCAGATTAGAACAGATCAGAATAGAAATGGAAAGAATTGAGAGATAGTTTGAGGTCTGACTGTGTCCTTGTTCACATTGATGACCTGATAACAGGAAGAAGAGCTGTAAACTTGCTGACTTTGGTCCACAATACAGCGTCTGGGTAGAAATTTGATCACATAAGCAATCTGATGGTTTTGGTTTTCCACTGCCTCCAATCTGGGTCAGTTAAATGCCATCTCGGTAGAAACTCATATCTGCTCTCAGCATCTCTACTCAGCATCTCCAGCCTGGTGTGGCGATGGACTCACACCTTTGATTCACTGAGTAAACCCTCTGCAAAAAAACCTCCAAAACCGGCTATTTAACATCAGCAGCGTGAATTTACAGCTACAGACAATTTAAGGTGAAAGATGAAACATCTTACACTTGTCATCTTTTATCAAATGGTTTTATATTTAAGGGGAAATCAGAGGTTTAAATACTAAATAAACCACACCCACTCTACACAGTAGCACACAGGTATATTGTGATAGGGGGGTGCTTGCCTGCTTGTCTTTCACAGCAATAACTTTAAATTTGGGGTTAGGGTCAGAACCTGCACTGTTGATTATTTTTGTCAATAATTGCCATTTGTCAAAAAAATATTGTGTTCCTACAAGTTAAAAGTTTTCAAAATAGAGTAGCACATTTGGAATGTGTAAGACTGCATGCAGTGTAGGTGGAGCATCTCTCTGCATTGTGCAATTCTGATTAAGGATGTTATGTGTTTCGGATGTCATGCGACTCTGTGCACTGAATAGAAATTAAGTGAATTTGTTTTTCTTGGCAGTAATTTCACATTTTTTAATGGTTGTTTGTCCTGGGGTTCATCTCCCGTCATCCATGGTTTCACCTTCTTTTTCTTTGTGTCTCTCAGGACTCTCCACACGCACATACACACACACACATGCACAGACACAGGGAAACACGACAACAGCTTGCAGATCTCACAGACACAGTCGTGCTTCTCACTTACAAGGGACAGCTTGTTTTATTCCCTCTGAGAGAAATGACCAGATCTCACCACTTTAACTGTGACATTTTTTATTTCTAATCGATATAAGGAAAAATAAAACAAAATACTCTTGAGCACTGAAAGTAAAACTTTCGAATATACATATTTAAATCCCAACTTCAGGCCTTGGTCACTTCATTTTACTCTGTGTCCTCTGAGTGAAAGGGGAAATGAAAGAGGGACTCTCTGTTAGTGGCACACTCGAGCATCTCACAGTTCACATGGCTCACCAATAGCAGAACTCTGCAGTGGTCAGCCAGGCCTCTCTTAAATGTCAAGTGATATGCTTCACTTAGTGCTAATGTTTACTGACAATATTGCGTTATGAAGGTGTTGCACTTTCACAAACCCAACATTTGCTTCATTGCTGCAAGTCTTGTCTTGACTTGCTTGTCATTGAATGCAGACGGACACTATTTATGTAACTGATCACATTGTGATCAGTTACATAAATAGTCTGGAATCATGTTGTATAATAATGCATTATCCACAGACTGAGAGAGGATGTAAACTTAGATCCGGGCCCTGGGGGTGTTTTTTTATTAACATTTTTGTTTGCAAATAGACAAGACAAAGACAGATACAAACATCACAACTACACAAAACAAACACGCCAGAGGTTACAGAGAAAATATATACAGTCAAATGAAATGAGTTATTTGCTTGGAGTACACTGCATCAGTCCTTCTTTGCTGTACCCAGGGTTTATTTCTATTCTATCTATAAGTAAAATAAAACAGAGCCTTAAACTAAATGTCTCGTATTGATGTATTCTTTAAGAAGTGTCCATGGCCCTTGTAAATGTAAATTGTCTTTGTAATGCCCCTGCAGGGCTGAGGCTGCATTTCTGGTATTCCTAGACCACCTTTTACAAACCCTGAGTTCTGATGTGAACACAATGACTCTGCAGCTCTCTGGACAATATTTATATTCCACACTAAACCTGATTGGGAAACTTCATGCTCTTCAGACCCTGCTCCCCTAGCCAGCCTTGATGAGTTTGAACTGATAACACATTCTGGTTTCACTGTCAAGTCAGAACTTGGCACAACAGGTTTGCTTAAGGTTTACTTATGTAACATAGGGAGTGTATCAAAAGCTGCAGTGTATTTATTCATTGGTTCGCAACATAGAGAACAACAGGCGTCTACAGAATCACAACATAACTCTGACGTTTGTAAGTCAATGCATAGGTCCAGGAAAGAAAAAATATATATTATGCTGTATCTATCCATCTTTCTATCTCTGATTTTAATGAGTTGGAAAGCAGTTAAACTTCATATGTTCTTTTAAATGTTAAAACTATTTCAGAAAGTATCTATAAGATTCAAACAAATATTGAGATTGTAAAGAATACAATAGTTTCCTATTAAATGTGGCTGCACAGTATTTGAATGACTTTCTGTTTAAGTTTTCTCACAACCTAAAATCAAGATGATTAGGACCACAGCCAAGGTTTCAACACCAGGCCTGTGGTGTATGTGGCACACGTTTTTTCATCTCCCTGCTGTGATGAGCCAGTTTGTCCAGCTGCTTGTCTGTTCTCACTCTATTTAAACTCTCTTCCCCATGTCCATTTAGGATTCATCTGTATTATACAACGTGTGCATGTGTGAATCAAAAGCCACAAAAAGGAGCCGATAAAGAAATGTTTCTAACTTCCTGAAGATGTTCTTTGTTAAATGTCAAAAGTGAAGGTTGAAATTAGCAACTGACCACAATCTACATTATTACAGTGACGTGTTAGCCTGTGCTGAAATTTTTGTGTGTGCGTGGGTGTCTGTGTGGGTGTGTGTGGGGGTTGGATGGGCAAGTAAAGTGCTTATTTTCAGATGTGGAACAATCAACATCTTTCCATTTTGAGTTTCTATGACCAAAAGAGATATCACACACACACATACACACACACACACACACTGGTGTTGGCACAGCCATCCGTATTAGGACTTTGCTTTGACTTCCATTCATTGTGAACAACCTGACCAAAAACTAAACCATGACAAATTCATGTCTAATTCTATAACCTTCACCTAACCACAGTTCACATCTTGTTCCTAACCTTTACCAGGACCTCGGAAATTATGCTTTGTCTCATTAGGACCTAGCTTGAGTTCCACTGGTCCTGACAAGGTCAGTGTTTATGCAGGAAAATGTCCTGAAGAGGTAACACAAACACACATTATGAACACACAGGCTTAACAGACAATGTGTATTCAGTTTGTTTCAAACAAGGTGACAGCTACAGACCTTGTATGGAGAAGGGAAGGAGAAGTTGTAGAAACATAAAACACACACACACACACACACACACACACAATGAAGTCTGAATCAGAGTCTTGGTGGTGTGATGACAGTTGAGACAAAAAGCAGATTATGTTGTATTGTAAAGGACTGAGAGGAGGTGACTCATTATGATCGCACTCAACTTCCCTACAGCTCACATGGACGGATTGTGTAAAAGCTTCAGCTGCAAAACTATGTGCTGTTCTGTTCAACTCTTAAGTTAGAAAATCCAAATGGATGCTTCTGAAAGGTACAAAACAACAAAGTGCATGCAAGCAGGTTCATTAGGACTGAGAGACTCATCCGCCAAGAGTTAAACTGTATCAGCTAAGAATGTCAAAGGCAAACAAATAGCACCCTCAGCGTTTATTGAACTAAAGGCCAATGCTTCACCACTGGTCTGTGTGCTGAGGGCGGGACGCACACTCTGTGTTTAAGGTCAGGGCTTGCAGTGCCAAAACATGAAAATTTAACGACTTGTTGATCTGACATTTAACATGCAACACATGCGATTTACGCACATTAATGTGTGTCATTTGTAGGAGAGTCATCAGCAAAAACACAGGGGTGGTTTAATAGAAGCCACAGAGAAAGACGCTGAATCTTTATTAAAAAAAATCATGAAAGCAGCTATATTCTTATCTTCAGCGTGTGCAAAGGGACGACACTCAACAAAGATGATCTGGCTGTTCAGCAGCTATACACATCGTGTTAGTTTTAGTTCACACAGCAGGATGATTAAGGTGATGTGAGAGGTTTTGATAAGCCATTAAACATGAGGAGACATAACATGATTTCAACTGGGACAATTTCCTGAAGATATTCCTGTGTGCTCTCTGGCAGGGATCTCAAGGCTGTGCAAACATACGTATATCCTGGAATTCAAAAGTGACTTCTTCACCATAGAAAATCCTTCCACAGAGCTCACTTTAAAGAAAACATTCTGTAGGTACCTATGACTCCAGAGCTGCAGGATCCAGATCTGACACTACTCAAAAACGAATATATTTTCAACCAGTCAGAACAAGCTTAAATATAAGTTACACAACTGCTCCTGGCTTCTCCCTTTTCTCCACTCACTCCAACAGGTCAAGGCAGATGACAGACAACACAGGGACTGGTTCTGTCAGAGATTAGTCATTTCAGAATTGAGTTGGTTTTTCTCTGAACAGTCGCCTATATGCTTGTTGTGGGAACTGTAATATTGAGATTCTGCACTGAATAAAACTAAATTGAATAGTATCATCACTCAGTTAATGTCTCCTCTCTGCAGTCACATAGATCCCAGAGGTCTCCTGAGAGGAAGTATAGACTGCTAGCTGTTGTTTCTCCTTTTTTAAAACATCAGCTCTTTACTGTAATTCTATAAAGGATGCTGATTTGCAAGGTTGCACATGGGGGAGGTCAAGTGTGGCAATGTATGTGTCCCAGGACATAGGCTAGACCTTTGCTTTGATTTAGTCATGCATGGTTGTATATGACACCAGGGGACAGAGGTGGTTGTATTTAACACGTTATAAAACAGGCTATGACGAACTGCAGCGAAGTAAGTAACCAGGTCATTGTCTGTCTTGTTGTTCACTCACCTCTCCAGTGTCCACCAGGTGCTCCAGAGCGATGATGCCTTTGCTTTTGCTCTCGTTGTCGCTCAATAAGTCATCTTCGGACTCCACAGCAGAGGAGCCCGTGGAGGAGATGGAGGAGTTGGACAGCTTTCTGCGCAGGGTACCGACCATCTCATCATCCCAGTCCTCCTGCCGCATCTCCCTGGAGCAGCCGCCTCCCTCCGGGGTGATGGTGACCTGCGGTACCGGACGCTGATCCATCACTGCAGTCGGCGGCGCACAGGCTCCGGACGAGGGTGAGATTTGAGCGGCTCTCTGGAGGAGATCATCGCAGATCTGTGGGGACTTCGCGGCGGATGTTCTTCGCTCTGAGCGGGACCCGTCGTTTATTCCAGTCCCCGAGAGCCCCGAGTCCTTGGAGCTCTTTCTCCTGCACTCTTTGGGCATTGGAGAGCCGAATCCGCGGTGAGGGCGCACAGCAAGAGGCGCACAGCTTCTGACGCTTCAGCCTTTAAATCTGATCATGTCACTTTGACAGAGTTCAGACTTGATGTTGTTGTTCTGAAGCTGCTTTGCGCCACTTCCTCGTTGATGTCCGCGGCTTCACACATAAAATACCTCTGTCTGCTCTGTGCGCAATGACGCACAGGGGAACCCCTCTCTCTCTCTCTCTCTGTCTCTCTCTCTTTATCTATCTATCCCACTCTTTCTCTCTCTCTTTATCTTTATATCTCACTCTGTCTGTCTCACACTCTTCCTCTCTCTCTCTCTCTCTGTCTCTAAGTGTCTTTCTATCTCATTTTTTCCCCAGCTTAATAACCTTTATTGGCATGACATTTACATGTGTTGCCAAAGAACAAATACAATATTAAAGACAATCACAGTCTTTTATTAGTCATAATAAAGATAACGATTGAAAGAAAACACCAACAACTGCAGAAACAATAGTTATTAATACAAATATATAAAATAAACAAACAGATGGTTGCAAGAAGTTGATGTTATAGTACATATTTACACATTTATGTTACAAACAAGCTAGACAGTGGCATTCACATTCAATGTATTTTGGTTTCAGTTCTGGATATAATGGTAGGAAGTGGAGACACATCGTCCATCTTTATATACAGTCCATGGTGTAAAGGGACCCTGAGTTCATGACTCCTACAAAAGACATTTGCATTACTGAGTATTTTATTTGTCACTATTTGTTTAGGAATATGCGCCAGTAAAATATGATATGATAGCATGGTCTCAGCAGGTTCTCTATCCCTACACCTTGAGGCCATGTCTTGAAGATAATCTTTAATACAACATGTAACTTTAAAACCTGCATTATTTCCATTTTGTTTGTTGCATGTTCGTAAATAACTGTGTCCAAGACAGAAAAAAATGCTAAATGTATCCTCATTTAAAGGTTCAGAACAAGTGACATCTAGTGGTAGAGTTGCATGTTACACCTCACCTCACCCTCCCCTTCCAAACATGAAAGATAGATGGTAGCCTTCAGTTGTCATAAAAACTCAAAAGGTCTTTAGTTTGTCCAGTCTGGGCTACGGTAAAAAGAAAAAAACCCAGTGAGGACCTGCTCCTGATGTAATTATAAAGTATTTTAATATAAAGCGCCCATTCTAGGGTAAAGAAAACTAAAATTCGTACAATTTTGGTGATAACACACCAGTGGAAAGATTACTAGGATCATTGCATATTCAGTTTCTGCCAATAGATTCTTTTCACCTAAATCTCCAACACTGGACCTTTAACATCCGTCCTCTGCACTGGGCTCCACACACTCCAGTCCAGTTGGTGGCGACACTCGAGAAATGAGCGCCTAAGAAAGAAGTTCACCCCTGTGTGTCCTGAGGACTGACTGTGTGGAGACTCCTGACTGTGTGGAGACTCCTGAGAGCGTTCACTCTCCAGGTACCTGACTCTCTCTGACTCTCGCTCCACCAGAACAGACCCCGTGATGTTTGCTGTCGGACGCGCGCTCCGCCTCGGCTCCAGGCTCTCCGTGTCCGCGGCGGCGAGGAGAGGATGCGCGGGGATCCAGGTGGACGACGTGGTGAACGGACTCACCGACGACCAGCTGCAGGTTCGTCACAGGGACACACATCAACACACGGTGCAGGGAACGGTGCAGAGCAGACACCTACAACTGAGCGAAACCACAAGACGGTTCAATGGCGATTTGACGGAGGGTTATTTAATCACGGGGCGTCACTGACGCGGTGACATAACGTTAGCTAACAGTCCTCCGTGCTAGCTGACCTACACACTACGGTGATTCCATGTGGGAAATGCCGTGTACTGCGTAATGTTTGCTAACGAGGGCTAGCTGGTCCACGTAAACATTGGCTAACCACTATTTATTCTGATGTGTTTTGCACAGCTCAGACAGACGGTGCGGAAGTTCCTTGCAGAGAAGCTTGCACCTCAAGCTGATGAGATCGACAAGAAAAATGAATTTACAGGAATGCGGGTGAGTTGAAAGTTTCCGTTGCCAGTGTACCTGTGATCTCTTGATAGATAAAGTCATTAACAACACCCTGGCTTGTGGAGCATGATTTCTGTATTGGTAACTTTTCTTGCATTATTTTTCTCCAGGACTTCTGGAAAGACATTGGGGAGATGGGGCTCCTTGGGATCACTGCTCCAGGTATGATTCTACAGTACATGTGGAAGTAGGTGGATTACACTTACCTATACCTAATTTGGGTGTCGGTAACAAATATCAAGAAAATGGTATTGTATGCATATTCACATTTGTAATCAAAGCATGGTCTGATGATTTCTCTCTTTTTGTAGGACATTTAACATAAAGCATTTATTTCCTCTGTTCATCTCTTTAGTGGAATATGGGGGCACGGGGCTGGGCTACCTAGATCATTGCATTGTCATGGAGGAAATGTCGCGAGTGTCAGCAGCCGTTGCTCTTAGTTACGGCGCCCACTCAAACCTTTGTGTCAACCAGATGGTGCGCCACGCAAACGAAGAGCAGAAGGAAAAGTACATGCTGAAGGTCAGAACCTAAAGAGTTCATATTGTTTAAAAAAGCATGAATTGATTGAAGAAAATGAATTAATGCTTCATTCCCCTCTGGCTGCTCCTGTTGTCAGTTAATGACAGGAGAGCATGTCGGCGCGCTGGCCATGAGTGAGTCCAACGCTGGATCAGATGTCGTATCAATGAAACTCCGAGCTGAGAAGAAAGGTAGGATATCAAAACCTCTGCGTTAGTGCTACTGTACTAATCATCCCAGGGCTTGCCACTTATTTTTTTACCCAAGGTGAAAAGGCAGGATCTTTGAGAACTTAAAAGAAAACAGATTCAATGAAAATGTACTTGTAATGTAAATATTGGTTATTTAAATATAGAGTTTAATAGGATTTGAAATACCTCTGTATTTGCTTTAATTCATAAGTATCATTTACACAGAAAAATCCAAGTGTCCGTAAGCACCGACTTTCAAATTTGACTCGAAACGAGGTCATTTACACCATGTTTTTAGCCAAAATGTCTGCTTCTATTCCTCTCTGGAGTCACATTTGTGTGCACACACCGCACAAGCTCACACCCAAAGGGCAATTCTCGCGAGTTCTAACGATAGAACTGCACCTGTCACAGGTTCTCACTGATGTTGTCACATGCTCCTTGGGCGAGAGCATCTGAAACTCATTTAAATTTCAGGATTTTACTGACTCTGTGAAACACTGTTGGTATTCAGCCCTTTCAAATTGAATATTACATTTGATAAGTTACACAGGGTTTTGTGTGTGTGTGTGTGTGTGTGTGTGTGTGTGTGTGTGTGTGTGTGTGTGTGTTTGTGCTGCATCATGGCCACGCTGTCGGTGCGAGCAGTGGACATACATACAGAGATCTGCAGCGTTCAGACAAGATGCCAGCAAAGCAAAAAGTTTTGTATTTTTTGTGTTATTGTACATTGATATTTCCAGATACCGCTGCACTGGGCCGAGACGTGAGCCAAAATACCAATACAAGGACAAAAATGGCATTAAGCAACTAAATGGCCCAAAGCCAATGGAAACAATGAATACAAATATATAAACATAAATTTCAAATTATCTCTTGAACAAGAAAACTGAATAAATTTAACACAAGAGAAAAGGTAGATACACAGCATTGGTAGGCTGTAGAGGACGAAGTTGTCAGTGTTAGAAGCTTCAAAAAGGGAACTTTTGTGTGGGTGGCAGTGCACATATTCACAGAGGTGAAATGTGCTGTTGTGCTTCCATGGTGAACAAGAAAGGGAGAAATACTAATTTTGAAGCTGTTGTTTATACTAAGGTAAAAGATGGTGTGGTGCTGGTTAAACCAGAGAGACTGAGATGTTTCCAGAATGAGATCATTTATTGTTGAACTGTCTTCAAATAACCCAAATCACAGGCTACACTCACGTCTCCTCTCTTTCACATTTTGATTAATCTTGGTTAGTTTTTTCTCTTGATGCTTCTGTTAATCTCTCTTGACTCTGTGTATTTTTACAGGCGACTACTATGTCCTGAATGGCAACAAGTTCTGGATCACTAATGGTCCAGATGCTGACGTCCTCATAGTTTATGCCAAGACAAATCCTGAGGCCCATCAAAAAGGCATCACAGCTTTCATTGTTGAAAAGGTAAATGCAGTAAACTACAGTATAGAGATATTGTTATTCTCTGACCCAGGATTCACTTGTAACTCAGGATGTAATGAGTTTTACATGCTTGCCTCTATTCTGGCGATAAACCTTGGATTTTATTAAACAAATAACTATCAAGCTTCACATAACTATAAATAGGCAAACAGCTCTTTTTGCCGTTTCAGGGCTCTGCAGGCTGACTCGACATGTCCTCACTAAGTTGATCTTAAATTGCCACAACTAGGTTACTGCAGATCACTTCTACTGTTCAAAGAATGCACCGACCACAGGCCAAGCAAACCGTACCCATTCCAACCAGTCTTGCATACAACATGTAGTGCACCAGTCATATTAAATAGTTAGGTAGTGACAGGAATCACAGCAATATCAACAGTGTTCATATATCAATATCAACAGTGTTCATATATGTATGTGTGTTTTGTAGGGAATGCCGGGATTCTCCACAGCACAGAAGCTCGACAAACTCGGCATGAGAGGATCGAACACCTGCGAGCTGATCTTTGAAGACTGTAAAATCCCAGGTGTGTGTTAAAATGCTAACGCTGCCTTATGTCAACTTGTGTAAAACACTAGAATCATAGGACACTTTTCGTTTTGGCAAATTTTTGTCACAGCTAATGTTTTTTTCCTGTTTGTTGTAGAGAAAAACATTCTTGGTCCGCTGAATAAAGGTGTTTATGTGATGATGAGCGGCTTAGATCTGGAGAGGCTGGTGCTCGCAGCAGGACCTGTTGGGTACGTTTTTAAGATAACACATAAAACATAATGTGTTGTGGGTAATCTCTGTTTTCTCACTCTTGATTTAAATAAGTAATTTTTTGTGAGTATGATGTTTGGCTTTAATTATTTGTAGTTTGTAACTAAACTTTGAGTTTGTCTGTCCCATGTGAAGATTACAACAGGACATTGTGCAGGTCAGGAAAGTGTCCTGAGTTCAGTGCCTGGCTGAAAGCAGCTCATGACAGACATAGTCGCCTTTTTCATTTTTGGCTTTTTTCATTTGACATTATGTGAGTTTTTGTCAAATATTCCAGTAAATGAGATTTGAATAGTTTTCTTGAAATACCATTATTACTTTGCAGCATCATGCAGGCAGTTCTGGACTTTTCTGTTCCCTACCTACATGTCAGAGAATCTTTCGGACAGAAGATTGGTGAATTTCAGGTTTGACTCTCAGCCTCAACTTTCTCACAATGTTGTACAGTTTTAAAAGTCAAATATATACATTTACTTTATAATAGATACATTCTCAGGTTTGAAGTTGGCAGCCAAGAATTTCAAAGTTTGGAATAACCTGCGTGAAACTCTGTTGTGTTTATCTGTTTAACAGCTGATGCAAGGCAAGATGGCCGACATGTACACCAGACTGAGCTCCTGTCGACAGTATCTGTACAATGTTGCCCGCGCTTGTGACAAAGGACATTTCAGTTCAATGGTGAGAGGATTTCTATTCACTCATCTGCTCCTGCAGAACACTGTTTAGAAAATGAAAACATTGTTGTAAAAAGATGTAAAACTTTCCTCCAAAGTTAAAAATGTTGAGATGCATTTAAAAGTTTGATTAATTTTTGTGCTTAGTAATTTTTCTTATTGACACGTTTGTACATTATTGTTGTTAAATTTAATTTCAGATCTTATAGCTTCAAATTTCAGGTTTTCTCAATGTTCTCGAATCTAAACCTTCCTCCAACTCAAGGATTAGATTGAAAAATGTATTCTTTTGTTGGACTTTGCTTAAGGCAGATGTTCCCTCAGCATGTTGTTGTGCTTTTTCCAAATGTGCCCCCCCCCACCCCCACCCCTGCACACCGTGAATGTGTTGGTTTTTGTTGCAGGATTGTGCTGGAGTCATTCTGTATTGTGCTGAGAATGCCACTCAGGTTGCTCTGGATGGTATTCAGTGTTTGGGTAAGTGCTTTAATATAGTAAATAATTAGTCAGTAAGTTAACAGAACACTACCACACAGGCAGTGGGTTTTCCGGTGCTCTGTCTCTCTCTCTCTCTCTCTCTCTCTCTCTCTCTCTCTCTCTCTCTCTCTCTCTNTCTCTCTCTCTCTCTCTCTCTCTCTCTCTCTCTCTCTCTCTCTCTGTCCCTCTTTTTCTGTCTAAGCTTAATGTGAATATATTTAGAAGGAAATAACCATTATCCAAAGCCAAATGACTGCAGAAAGATTTGTTGGCGGTAGCTGCAGTGAGGTAGCATCACACACAGGTTAGCTAGATGAGGTGCAGGCGTAATGAAAGAGGGTGTATAGTAGAAAGAGTGCAGTCGACTTCAACTTTTCAACTGATATTTTATATGTTTTTTTTATTCAAATTATACTTCAGGGACAAACACACGTGGGTTATCAAGCCGTGCATTCTGATGTACATGTTGTTGTCATGCAATATGAGTAGTAACTGATATATTAATGTGCACTCAAAATGTCATGGGGAAGGTTTTGTGTGTCTCATAAGCAAATCAATAGCTAACAGATAATCTTAACATGACTTTGATAGATGTGACGCACTGTCTGTAACCTGCATGTCACTTGTCAACAGGTGGGAACGGCTACATCAACGACTACCCTATGGGACGATACCTTCGTGATGCGAAGCTGTATGAAATCGGCGCAGGCACAAGTGAAATCCGCCGGCTCATCATCGGACGAAGCTTCAACGCCATGTTCAAATAAGCTGAAGTGAGAAAGACGAGGGCTGAGGGCTGAAGGAATGAATGATGGAGGAACAGTTACTCACACCCGGGGCCTTAACATCAAATGAGCTGATGCTGCTGTTTGGATGTTGTGGCTTTTTAGAGTTAGCGTCACCAGGGATTTTAATTCATATGCAGTAGACATGGAATGGCAGAGTTGACAGTGATGTTACAACAAATGAAATGTTAGTTTAGTGTCTGAAGTGGCCTTCATGTCTTTTTTTTATGTATGAGGTTGTTGTAAAGTTAATGATAACCACTGAAATATCAATTTCACCACATTAGATAAATTAACCTTTATACAAACTGATGAAAATGAATTGAGAAATATTTGAAAATGGCTGCTTGTCTTTGTTTGGGTCCATTTTTTTGTATTTTGTAGTTTTAGACCCCTGCAACACGCTGACAGATTATTTTAGTTTTCTCTTCAACACCCCTTCCAGAAATCAAAAATCCCACTGCTGCTGAAAGAGAAGTGGATTGTGAATGTTGTATTATTTATTGTGAGGAAAATTGATACCAGGGGCTCTGTGTTGCTCCAGGACATGTTGGCAGGTCACTGTTCTTTGGATAAAACCTAAAAAAACATCCAACAATGACTTTCTCTAAATTTAACAATCATCACTACAGTTAAAATGAAAGATGGAACTTTACAGTGATTGTTCACTGTGAATGTGAGGTTATTGTAACATAGATGTAAATTAGTAAAATATATAAGTCCCTTAAACGATTTCAATGCAAACTGAAATGTTTGTTGATTTTAAGGAGTAAATATATTCCACTTTTTTATATCATGTAAATCACCCCTCCCCCCAGATGCTGTGAGACTTGTTGGTGTTCTCTGTAAATGACTTTTAACAACCAGTAGCTGTAAAGTATCAACATGTATGATATAAGTTTTGTTTCCAATAAATAAAAATAAAACATTTGTATTTTTTGACAGCAGTTTATTTCCATCCTTTAATGAACGTCCTAAAGGATCATATCTCACATGCAGACTTATTTTAAAGTGCTTGCTTCATATTTAAGAAATAAAGCTACATTTATAGTAATTAAATCTGATTTATGATCAACATGAAAGTAAAGACAACCCTGACACGTAGAGATGGAGATGGTTAGACGTTAACTAGACATGAGCAACACTTAAAACCTGGACACCTTGATGATAGCTTGTGTCGTAAACTGAGCTGTGGACATGAAACAGACAACTAGTGTCTAATGAAAAAAGTCTAAATATCACAGAATCTGACAGCTTCTTTGAAAATGTGTTTTTGTTAGTTTCCTCTCAGACTGAGAGCGTTTGGTCGGACTCTGTCACTGCTCCTCTGTGATAAAAACACTGCACTGGTCCAAAGGGTTCACATTACTCTCATGTTGTTTTATTTCCTAACCTCCTCCAGTGGGGATGGAAAAAGTGTCATTTCAGATCTGAAGACCCTCATGGGCTCCCTGCTGGAAGACGTAAAAGATTGTGCCTGCTCTCTTCAGTGTAATCACAGACAACTGAGGTCATGCTGAGATGCGGGTGCATTTATAGTCCCACTGTATCCTCTGATTTTAAAAAATGACGAAAATAAAGATAAAGGAAAACCTTTGTAAACACAACACAGTTTTCTATAGTCCCTCTGTATCCACTCAACATAGAGCTGATTGTTTCCAGGAAAGCCAGAGGGGAGACAGTCGCTCACACTGAACCATCCCACTACATTTGAATAATACATGGAGTTCTGTTTCAGGGTGGATTTTCCCTTTGCAGGAAATAAATCCGGTTTAAAAGATTCATATCTCCACCACTGTGAGCTAACTGCTTAATCTGACTGAAGAGAAATGTTATTGTCAAGAAAGCAGATTCAGTCTTCAACCTGAATGCTTTACATTTATTATTATAATAAAACGTGTATTATTACAACTGTGACATTAAAGGGAAAGTGCACCAGTAATAAAAACTCAGTCATTATCTACTCACCACTACGCCGATGGAGGGGTTGGTAAAGTGTTTGAGTCGGCAAAACACTTTTGGAGTTTCATGGGTAAACAACATTGGAGCCAAATCGAATACAATTGATATCGGCTGGCTTTTCGCGATATTTACAAACTCTCGCAAGAACTGAAGCAGCAACTCGGAGGCTAAAAACATGGTGTAAATTTGAATGTCAGAGCTTACGGACACTTGGATGAAACCACAAGAGCAGTGTGGAGGCATTTTATGTTTTTATTCTGTTGTTTTTGTTCTTGTGAAGAAGTGGTCACCATTTACTTCAGTTGTATTGGATTTGGCTACAACACTGTGTGTTTTCACACAAAGTGTTTTGTGGACTCAAACCCCCCCCCCTCCATTGGCACAGTGGTGAGTAGATAATGAGGGAATTTTACAGTACATTTACTGTAATTGTTTTCACACACAGCAGTTCTTTATACAGTATCACACCGTTCATACATTGTCAGCACAGCCGTCAGGGGCACTTTGGGCTTCAGTGACTTGCCCAAGGACACTTTGGCAGACTGGGGGAGCGTCTGGTCAGACTGGTCAGTGGACAACCCTGTCTACCTCCTGAGCCATAGCTGCGCCCACTGAGCTTTTAATCTCTACTGAAATTCTGAGACACTTTCCAGAACTGATTGTGGCAGTGGTTTACAAACTTCTTTCACATTTGTAAGAAGTATTACAGTATTTTCAGGACCTTTCCACTTTATCTCTCGGTCTTCCACAGCAGATGAGATTTGCAGATTTGAAGATGGACAATGTGACATCGAGACACAACCTCTGTTTTATCCTTCAGTGATGATGACAATCTGCAAATATCTGCTGATGAAGACCGAGAGATAAAGTTGACAGGTCAAGCTACAGTGACAGAACAGACCTCATCTTATTATGGGCGCTCCAGTTTGAAGATTTGTCCAAAGTTTAAAGGGTTTAAACTTCATGCTCTTGATTTGAGGGATACATTTTCTGTCAAGGAGGTTGTGTTTTCACCCCCGTCTGTTTGTTTGTTAGTTTGTAAGTAAGATTACACAAAAACTGCTCAACAGATGTGATATGGGTCGGGGTAGAATCCATTACATTTTGGTGCCGATCTGGATCATGGGGTGGGTCCAGGAATTATTTTTAAATTTTCTTTAACATTGTGAGATGTTCAACATTTCAAGTAATAATTCATGTTTCTTGGCATATTAAGGGAATAGATTTCTATGAGTGTGCAGCTTGATTAAATTGGACTGTTGGACCTTGGCTAGTTTCATGGCTGTTTTCAGTTAATTTTTGATATTTATTTTAACTCTAAGAACGAATAAAGACTCAATCAACTGAATTACCAAGCAAAAGAAAAAAATGTAAATTGATTGAACAGACAGAGTTTCCCTCTTTTTCTATCTTCTCTCTTTTTTTGACACTGACATCGAGCAAAACGCCAAATTTACTTGTTTACTTGTCCCGACACCTCAGATGTCTTCAGAGACGTCAGCCTCCTGTTCTGAAGTGGCAGGTGGCTCATTCACTCATCAACAACACAATGACAAGATGAAGGATGATACAGATCATCGCAGCACCTGTGGCACAGCACTCACTTTGCACAGACGTTCAAACAGAACCAATCAGATTTCTTTCTTTTTGTCTCTTATCAGAACAAATTGACTCTACAGTTACAAAATGTGAAAATACATATAAGAATTATTACTTTGTGTAAAATTAAATCCATTCTGTGTATTTATTTATGTAGAATTAAGAGTTTTTAAACTCATCACTCACCACTTTCTGCAGGTGGATCCTTTATTTAATTTATCCGTAATAAGTTATTACAGAGCAAATAACATGTTGGTTTCCAGATTGTGCATTCACATGTGAGTGAGTAAAGCTGCTGTATGTGAGTGTGTGTGTGTGGAGGGGGGGTATGTGCGTGTGTGTGTGTGTGTGACTCTTGGCTGTTTGGCTCTATATTAAGCAGGAAGTGCTCCTCCCTTTAGGGGAGAGGTTCAAACTGAATGCCTCATTGTCAACTGGAGGTTTTCCATTTTTACAATAAGCAGTCTGAAGTTCATGTGTGTCATTATCGCAAAACACTCATGTTTGTTGGATGCTGTGTACCCTTGTCTCACAAGATCAGGCAGTGGAACAGCCCATGAGGATGATTAGTACAACTTTAAACATATATCAGGTTCTGACAGAAGGTGAACAGAGATGGATCATGGATATGTGACATCACAGCGCAAAAGTTATTTTTATTTCTGCTTAGTGATGCCTCATTGGAACTTGACCAGTAATAAATACATGTGCTGTATACGCACACCTCTAATATCACACATGTATCATAACTCATTAAGAGTTTTAAAGTTGTAACTAATGGATTCATAGATCCACGATAAGAACTAAATCTCTGCCCCAATTCTAAAAATACATTTGAGTTTGAACACTCAAATATATATATATATTTATAGACATAACATTTTATATCATTTAACTTTGATGGATGAAATCCTTTCACTAATGATTTGTTGGTATATAAATATACAGACGTCCTGACCTACTATAGAAAACCCACAGGTATTTAATAATGTATTTTCACTATATGGCTTCATTATCACACATCAGAAAAGATAAACTCCAATCAAAGGTATCGTATACAACTCCAAAGCTCACTGATCTATATAGAGTTCAATATATAGGCGCTATATAGGTGTTTTATTAGAAAATGGAGCAATGATAACTTTCATATTCTGCATAAGAAAATATAAGTAAGCAGGTGAGTACTGACAAATGAGTGCAGATGAAATGGTAAACATGGAAAACACGTGTAGTATCAGCAGCCATGTGTGATTAGTGAAAGTCTCAGTCATGTTACGTGTTTGTCAGATGCCTGCTAATGTTGTACACGTCTCACTTCACTCACACAGACACATCATACTGGATGCTTGGATTTCCTTCGGGATCAATAAAGTATCTATCTATCTAATCATAACCCTCTATTCATTTGGTTTCTCTTATATGAAAGACATATGCCTTTATTTATCATCTCTGTATTTTATTTTATTACATTATAATGTGCTGTGCTGTTATATTGTGTTATGTTCTGTTAAACTGTATTATGTTGTGTTATGTTGTGTTAAAATGTTTTATGTTGTGATATATTGTGTTTTATAATATCATGTTAGTATAGTATAGTATAGTATAGTATAGTTTAACTAGGACAGGAGGGTGTAATCATGGCAGCTAATATGTGATGACCACTTCCTGAACAGTGAATACTGATCAAGAAGTCCACATCACCAATAATTTGCATTTGCACCACTCAGCATGTGTGAGTGTGAAAGTAACTTTGACTTTAGACGGACCAGCAACACAGTGCTCCAGCAGCAGACAGCTCTCAGTCACATGTCCGAGCAGGTTTTCGCTCGGAGCTGCAGCTTCTCCCCGCAGACCAGCTCACTGAGGCCGGAGCAGAGGAGCAGCAGAGCCGGGCTGTGTGTCTCTCCACCGGGGTGAACACAAGTGCGAGAGGCAGGGGGGCTTAGAGACATTAACGAGGTGAAAGCCATCTGTCAGCCACAGCAGGGGCGGCTCTGCTGCCGGCCCACGGTGACATGTGGACGTCCGTGGCCCTTTAAGAAACTCCATGTTTTCGCTACTTGATGCGTCAACATAAAAAGCGGATGATGCTGTTATGTAAAAACACGCTGAAGTCGCTGGTAGTTTGCAGGAGGACGCCTCTCCTTACCCTTCGCGCCGGGATCGTGGATTAAAGTGGGGTTTTTACGCGCGGCGCACGGAGCTGCGCAGTTCGGAGTGAACACAGAGAGAAAAGGCTTCGGTCGATCAACTCAACATGAGTCTGCTTCCACTGTGTTTTCCTCCTCCACTCGAGGGAAGTGTACACCTGACGCATCTCCCCCTCGTCCTGTGGAAGTGATCCGTCTTCTCTCAGAACCATCGAGCCCCGGCTTGAGTTCGGTCTCCGGGAAGGTAAGAGTCTGGATCTGCCTTCAACTCCCACCGTGTAAAACTGAAAGTGTCAGGACAGGATCGAGCGATGAGGCTGCAGCTGCTGGAACAATGTGGCAGCCACACACACACACACACACACACACACACACACACACACACACACACACACACACACACACACACTGATCCTGTAACTTCTACTGCTGATCTGTAATAACACGAGGATATGTCAGCCCTGTGTGTGTGTGTGTGTGTGTGTGTGTGTGTGTGTGTGTGTGTGTGTGTGTGTGTGTGTGTGTGTGTGTGTGTGTGTGTG